ACTGTGCGGATTTACACATGTAGACCTGAATTGTCTTCAGGGTGGCTCGACTGTTCGTGAAGACGTTTATTGTTGTCTCCTTCCCAAGGCTCAAAAGGGTAGGGTGACGTATGGGGTTGTTTAGTGGTTTAACCCAAGGATTAGCATGTGTTTTGTTCTGACGGGACATGGTTCAATTAAGACGTGACTTGTGGAGTTGAGGTTGTAGGAAAGGGATACTTTGCCTCATCTAATAAATGAGTGTGTGTTGTACAGTGAGATTAGGGATGAATTTTTATTGAGGTTGGGGTTGGATCGGATGCAGGGTATGGATTGTTTGTGGGTGGTTAGGGAGGAGGAAGTTTTTATGATCCTAAAGCTATTTGCGAGAAAGATCTTTGCGAAGAGAAGCAGAGCGGTGTAACATTGAAAGCTGAAATTAAAAAGAAGGAAACGAAGAAGAGTAGAAATGGGTTGAGAACTTTCTGAATGTGGTCAAATTTACTGTTATGGTTGATTGGTGGTGTTCTTGTCGTGGAAGTGATGGTCCTTTTATGTTTTGTTCCTTGTAAAATATATAGTCATTGGCAATAGTTTTTGCATACTTACGTGTGTGCCTGAATAGTGTGGTCTTTTGAGTCCTGCTGGTGGCCTTGAGCTACCGGGGAACTTGGCAAAGATTGGTTAGTATTGCAGAGATTAGTATGGGGTTGCAGTCTAGTCTACTTCTAGTCACTACTTATTTCTAGTCTAAGTTGTGATATGTGTATTATTTTAGTTTTACACATGTTTTTGTTGTTTTTAGACTATGTGTCATCTATGTTTGTTCGTTGGTTCCTTGTTTAGGTGTACAATTTTAACTTAACCCTACTTTAGGAACTTCGTGTAAGTTTTTCTGCCAAAAAAGTTCAATGAAGTACATAATGAGTCTGTTTACATGGATTTGCGGCATAAAGATGCTTTTGATTTGGTGAGTGTATACGAAGATGATTTTGGCATATATTCCAAATCTAGATGTTTTTCAAAACTTTAATATATTTATAAAAAATGTTTTATATTATTGCATTATTGATCGTATTAGAAATGATATATCTCGGGTAAGTTAAATCATGTTACCTCTGTTAGTCGCTCCAATAACCATAACGATTGTAAGAAGAATGCGGGACCATTGTATTGTGCTTCGCCCCAAGGTGAGCGCATTCACTCTCGTTTGTTTATAATTGCAAGCTCGCGCAGATAGTGGTAGTTGTTTATTATTAAACGACTAGTGCCAGGTAATTATCGATTCCGAAATGAATCACGCAGGAAGCGTCTTAGTGAGTCTACGGGTTTATTGCGAACCGCTTCCTATGGTGGGAACGTTTCTTGTACTATTTGAATTATGAACATTTTTCTTGTTAACGTTTGCACGCGGCCATTAAATCGTTGATCGTAAATTAGATTTTCTAGTGTTTTCTTTGGGGGTTTCTAAGAAATGGATTAAGAATGTGTTTTTAGCTTGTGATGAAATTTTTTGGTGCCTTTAATAATTTTTTATGATGCGTTGCTTGTTAGGCTAAAGCCTATCCTGTTTGTGATTTATTCTCTTCGGTCGCACAAACGGCCGTCTCGCAGAGGCGCCAAATAGTTTATCCGGTGGTAGGTATGCGGCATTCCTGGTCGCTTATTTTTAGCAGGACTCCTCCTAAATTATCCCATACGGGTGTAGGCATTCGGCGGGACTCGCGCTCGTCCCTTTCAACTACGAAGAAAAACGCCGGCTCGCTACGTCGAAATTATTTGTGTCAGCCCTACTTACGGTTCATGCACAGATTTACAGCTGCGACCGCCAGCGCGGAAGCAACCTAAATATGACGGGCATTTACCACTCGTTAAAGATATTTCAACACCACCGGCAATTAGCCGCCCGCCCGTCGGTTCCGTCGATCGGCGTAGCAAACTTTAAGCGCGATCCTTCAACAGAACGTAATGGACTTCGCCGTATTTCACTTCGGGACCAACACCATTTGAAATTATTTGATCAATTTTGACAGCTCAATAGCCATAATTAAAGCTTTTCTAAAATTGCCATTCAAAGTACAACATATTACCACTATATCCTTTCAACACAATATCTCACGTCTAAATTATGATATTTTCAATGTTTAGATTTGATGATTAATCTAAAGCTTTTATTCTTAGATTCTTTTTTCTGTTAACATCTTAGAAATGGCATTTGGTGTGACATAGCCTTAACCCAAGTTTCCTAGAAATTTATCACATCATATATTGTCCGCACGTTGCGAACAGATGGACAAGGTCAAACAATAAAAGACAAAATAGTGATGCGTCGGACATCATTAATTGTAGCTTCGTAAAAAAGTAATTACTCGACGCGGAACAGCTTTCTTTGTCATCCTGGGGATGGATCCGCTTTGTTCGTAATGAAGGTGTTAGGGGCCGTCGCGGTCACGCTCCGTCCATCGACGGTGACCTTGGTTCCGATGGCGGAGGGCTTCATCGCTAACCTCCTCTTCTTTCGCTTCGGAAAATTTCTTCTTCCCAGCCACGTTCTTTAACCCAGGAAGTCGTGGCGTACCGACGACGTCGCCGCTACGGACGGCGATCTCAAATTACGACGAAACCGATCCGGCGGACGCGTAATTGGATGGCCATCATCGAGGGAAACGGCCGCGAGATGGCGCCGCGATAACTCCGGACCGCGACTTTGTACGTGTATGTTGTTTTGTTGTCGTAACTACTCGAACGTTTACTGTTTTTCGCTATAAAAAGGTCACTAAACTGTTAAAATGTGAAAGAAAACTGTTAAAAAATGTTAACGCAGATAAATACTAACACTAGCATCATCACTAGAACTAACACTAGACCTAGAACTAGAAACATTCGGATTTAGCCGCACGTCTCTCAATACGGCTACACCCGAATGATTCTAGTTGTAGGTCTTGTGTTAGTTCTAGTGATAGTGCTAGTGCATAATTAGAAGTAACACTAGACCTTGAACTAGAAATGTTCGGATTTAGTCGCTCGTCTTTCAAGACGGCTAAACCCGAATGATTCTAGTTCTACAGTTAGTTCTACATTTCGTGTAATAAATATATACAACAATCTAACGCTGAATAACAATTAAAACTAGAACTAACACTAAAACTAGAAAGTTTCGGATTTAGCCATGCGTCTTCAGACGCCCCAACGTTCTTTGATTTATACATCGTATAGGCAACTCGGGGAAACATGGCATTAAACATTTTTTCAAAAAACGCATGGCTTAACCCGAAAGTTTCTAATTCTATGTCTAGTGTTAGTTCTAGTGGTAGTGCTAGTATTATTTCTAGTTTTAGTTTAATTAACACCGGCCGTGAAAGCATTCGTACTTGTATTATTAAAAGATGTAACATTCATGATCTTGTTGAATGATATAGTATTTTCATAAACGAATTATTTCCTCCCACATATGTAAATTAATCCTTAGAGTGAGTTAAATAAATGATTGGTTAGAATGAATGGTGTGTATCGACCGGAAGACAACTCTATTGCAATTTCCTCGGTGATATTGCTCCATCAAATCGTCGTATCGCTCTTAAAGCAGCGCCCACAGACGACTCAATCTCTAACACATAACCATAAACCAAACAAGAGAGCTTGGTCTTGGTGCTGCTCGCATTCTTCTTGCGTTCTTTGCGAGAGTTATCTCCCCGCCACAATAAATTCGAGCCGGCTCTTAAACTGATTTATGGAACTATTTGCCCACGGAAGTTAACCTAAATAGTTCTGAATCGCGATAATTTCATAACGTTCCCGGCTGATAAACGCGTAGTCAGCCGGAGGCTTCGTGTAATTTACACCTTTGGCCGCATTCAAAGCCGAAACAATTTGCTTATTGTTAGCCGTTCTGTTCCGGCCAATTATCTCAAATAGTTTTAAGTGGCCGGTTTATGGACCAACTCCATTTGCACGTCGAATTGTTTGATGGACGCTTTGTTAGGAGCGAAGAAGAAAGGGGCAATTGCGTGGGCTGCGAAGAACTAACAGAGTTACGGACGCGAGTTGCGTTTGAACCGGACAGGATGCATCAGTCAAGACGTTAGGAATAACAGGAGCCCATCTGTACGTGTCTGTTTCAAAAAGCGCACGCCGGCTTATGAGGCAATTTATATTGCGCCAGTTAGAGATGTTAAGAGAAGGATGTTTTAACGCAATATTCTTAAAGAGGACTTTGTACAACATCCGCTGCTTTAATTATTCTATGTTTACACAATAAAAAGAGTCTTTCTAATTTTTTAAGCAAATCTTTTAATTTAACAGTTACCGTGTATGGAGTTCGTTAAAGTAGCAAAAGTAAATCCTTGTGTTTTCATGCGTTTAATGGAAGTTTCGTCTCTATAAACTTTACAGTTAAGTTTTATGGACGCTTAAAATGGCACATGGTGGGATTTGTCTTTTACGGTAAATGCGATAATATCTAATTAGAAGCTACTTATTTTAACATACTCAAAGTACTTAGAATTTTATTTATAACAACGAATTTTAATATTTAATATCTGTTTATATATTTATGGCTTTTATGTATTTACCCTTCAACCTAGATATTTAGTAAAGTCAACGATAAATGCCCACTTGTATAAACATTTATCTTTGATATCTTGTTATCGTTGTTAAAATATAAGCTGTACGCGAGATTACCTAATTATCAACATATTTACTCGTTTTATACACAACTAATGAACGCTGATAATATTAAACCTTAAAATTATTTTTTTATTTTTAATAAACATTAAAATGGAAATTTTTTGTTCCACGTCATTTAAGCTGACTAAATCCGCTAAATATGTATTTCGTCATTGAGACATCCGAATTTTTTTCCACCTTGAAAACAAGATCCTAAATACACACAGGTTGTCTTCGATGATCACTGATTAATATTTGTTTTGCACTCACTCAACAAACTGAAGTTATTAATATTAATACATTGACCTTTTCCTTGATTTGGTAAATGTTAACGAGTTCTTTTTTGATGATTTCAGGGGTAAATTTGCGACAGTCCGACGCGCCAATCACAAAACGACGGGCGTTCAATACGCGGCAAAGTACATAAAGAAACGGCGCCGAGCCGTCGACATGACGCCCGAAATTTACCACGAGATCTCCGTGTTGCGAAAGTGCGCCCCATGCGGGCGCGTTGTTCGCCTTCACGAGGTCTACGAAACGAATTCGGATGTTGTCTTGGTGCTGGAGCTAGCTGCTGGCGGCGAACTTCAGCGCATCTTCGATACGGACCACTGCCTAAACGAGGTTGAGGCGAGACGCGCGATGCGACAAATCCTCGAGGGACTTGGTTATCTTCACGAAAGGAATATAGCGCATCTCGATCTCAAACCCCAAAACCTATTACTAACCGTTGAAGATTCTTGCGACGATATCAAACTTTGCGACTTTGGCGTATCTAGGCTTCTGGCACCTGGAGCAGAAGTACGAGCATTATTAGGTAGGTCAATAAAATTAATATCTAAACAGTTGTGATTGAATGACTCCCTTCCAGGTACTCCAGATTACGTGGCACCTGAGGTCTTAAGTTACGAGCCAATCAGTCTGGCGACCGACATTTGGTCAGTGGGCGTTTTAGCCTACGTCCTGTTATCCGGTTACACGCCATTCGGAGGGGATACTAAACAAGAGACATATCTGAACATATCGCAGTGCATACTGACCTTCGAACCCGACCACTTCAGCGACGTATCTACGGCCGCTATAGACTTCATCAAATCCAGCCTTCTAGTTAATCCCAGGTAAGCAAAGTTATCACAAAACTAACCATAAAAATTCCTTCATAGTCACAGGAATTTAAGTACTATCTCAAATTGTCATAATAAAGTTAAAAATAATTCTTTTGAAAATACTAAAACGTTAGGGATGGATCTAAACTAAAAAGGCATTAACTCTATATCTTTTTAAGAATGCTTTAGAAGTTTTGCTTTTATTAGTAAGTATATAAAAAAATCAAACATACATATTAAGTACATTTATGTTTGTTTATCAATCCATTTCTGACTGGGTTCAAGCTCGAAATTTCAATCGCACATGTCAAATAATGCAAGCAAAACTTTTTTGACATTTGAGACAAATTTGAGGTTCGATGCTTCAGCTGAAAATTTCAAGTAATATTCAATGTAGCGATACATAATTCAGCGATGCAGCCTGCAAAAATAAAACTAGCAGTCACTCTTTCCTTTTTACCTACTGGAAATAGTTACAGAAGCTTCACTCATCTGTTTCTGTTGCCAAAATCATCATGTGCGATCAAAAAGTCGCGCACATCAAAATAAAAAGCCCACAAACACACTTGTTCTCTATACGGAGAAATAAAGTGAAGAGTTTTTTTTTTGATTAACTGCTTTATGGAATTATGGAACTACAACAATGCGGCTTCACTCTTCAACATATTCAGCACAAGATTAGCCATCTATACTATTCCAGTGACGCTGGTATGGGTGCGTTGACGTGAAAAAGTAGACCGTTGAATCCAGTTCACTGGAATGAGTGCATTCTAGTACCAATTCACATTATTCCAGTGGAATTCGAGCATTGGTTTCGATCACTCGACTGGAATAATGTGAACTGGACATTATAAATTATTGACATGCAAGATACATACTCTGAAATAATTCATGTAGACTTATGTAGTTTAATGGATCAATTTTTATTTCTATTGTTTGAAGATGAGTGCCAACTTCGACAAAAAAAATAACTTTTTATTTACGTCAAAAATGTGACCAAAAGTTAGAAGGTTGATAAGATAATAATCAGAGAATCGATAACCCGCTCAAAAACAATTTATTAGCAATAATGCAATAGTTTATCAAACAACAAACAGTTATATACCATAACAAAACTAAATGATCTAGATAGCAATTTTCCACAGAAATAAATCAGTTCATGATGTGAGAAAATCAGACGTGGGTTATCTCAAAATATTTCAATGATGATGTAATGAAAGGAAATGAAATTGATTCGAAAATCAAGCTTAGGAGTTGATTCTTGGCACTCAGTAATTCCAGGCACGATCTAAAATCGTTTTCAAAGAGTTCAAAGTATCAAAAGGACACTGCCTCAATAAAGTCTCAAACATTCAACTTTTACGCATTAATATCTAATCAGTTCCTATCTCGTTCGAAAATCGACCACCTTCATCCAGGTTTCATCCCATTCCTTACCTTCCTCCTTTTATCCAGGATTCGTAATTCGTGATTGATATTCTGCCTCAATTAAAAGCGTGACATTTTAACGCCATTATTTTATGAGTTTATCATTTTTTTTTATTGTTTATTTTTTCATTTTAGACTTCGACCAACAGTTCAAGAATTACTTAAACATCCGTGGATCTCACCAAAGAACCACATTTTACCATCTCTTTCAATAAAGACAACAGAACCAAAAGATACCACACCGAAGACAACTCCAATTAGTCAGCGTAAGTGTTTGCCCCCCGCTGAATTGACACCAAGCCCGAGGACGACATACGCTTCCGAAAATTTGAATGGGTTTGCGGATAGTCCCGTGAGGGCTGCGTTTACGGTGACGGCCAATTGTTTATGTGCTCAATGCGGGGCTACGTGTCGTCACCTTCCTCATACGCCCGTCTCTAAAACGCCTATAACAGTAGATCGTGGTATCCTTTGTTAGCCCATACATGGTGTGTGTTGCCTGCTGTAAATGTGTCTATTGTCTAATTCTTGTCTTCGAGAAGGAGCGATGGTTTATTTTTTATTTTTTTTTCTTTCGTTTCGTTAAGTTGTCTTACTCTTTTTGTACAGGTGATAAGTTAATTACGTAATCTATTTTTCTACGTTTGCCCGTCACTCAATTTGGCCGAATTAGCAGATTTTTTTTAAGTTCTACATTTCCTTTATTCTCCCCGTTATAATAAACTATTAAATAATAAAACCATAAATTATTAAATTGATAAAATTTATTAATTTTTCATTTTTGTTTATCTTGATCTTATAGCTGCATTCTGGGTTTATTAATTTTTATTTTTATTTTATTTTTTTTGAGAAGGACTAGTCAAATTCTGTAAGGAAAATTTAGAATTTTTCCCCTCCGATTCTACTTATTTCCCGACATTACACTTAAGGACGTTAATTTATTGTAATTAAGAAGAGAGCACACGCAAATAACAGCGCACTTTTTTCTTGTTACCTCCAAATAAAAAAGAAAGGAAAGAATCCGCTCAATATTAGAACTGAAGCGTTGACATGCACAAAACTGTGATTCGATTACTAAATAAAAATAAAAATCGCACGGAATTATTTTTTTTTGTCAGTTTCGAATACAAAAAGATATCAACTTTTTTAACGTAAATATATCCTTGTTATTATTATTCTTAAAGAAATTGTTAGTCTCAGGTGAACTTTATAAAAGAATTATAATATGATAAGGTATCACAATGCCGAAGAGAATGTTAATAATACTATTTAAAAAACACCAAATTATTTAAACGAAAAAATCATGCTTTTGCATAGCTATTATACTGTTATAAAAAAAATCTTTAAAATGCCTTTTGCATGTTGTGATGATGTTAATATATCTACGTCTGTGTTCAGCTAAGTAAAAAAAAAATTTTAATCGTTATCATTCTCATTTTTTAAATCATTTTCAGAATACAAATTTTAAGTTTTTAACATTTTAAATCTCCACCAGAGAAAAATAAATTTAAACTATATTTTTTTTGATTTACAATTTAACATTTAAGTTTATTACAAAAAAAGAGTAATTAAATAAATATTATAAGAAAAATTTAAAAAAAAAACGAAACGGGAACCCTCTGATTGCAAGCTCCCATCGAGGGTTAGTTGAAATATAAGTTATTAGTTATTTTTAGATAATTTAAGTAATTAAGAACGGGGCTTGCGCGACGAGGGCTCTCGAATATTTCCCACATATTCGGTCGATGTACCTTTGTTGTGAGCGTAGTGGTATCCTTGTACTGTATTATGGTGAAATCATCTTAGCTACATGTGTAAGTTCTGCTATGTTCTCGTATATTATTTCGAATAAAGATACATTTAAAAAAAAATTGTCTTAGTTGGGCTTTTTATTTGTTTAAATAGTAAGTTACAACCCCCGTTTTATTAAAAATTTTCTCAGAATCAATTTAAAAAGTGTATTTATAAATAATTTTCAGATTTAAACACCGCAGAAGAACCGTCATCATCAAATGTTGTAGATAAATTAATATCGGACAATTCCAACTCTGAATTAATCATTGATGGCACGACAATAGGAATTAGAAGACGTTCTAATACTACAGAGCAACCAATAATTGACGAAATCTTAAAAAGTGATGTTAAATCAGAAACGCCACCAAATATGTTAACGTTTCATGAAAAAGATCAACCTTCTCGCGACACTTTTCCTCAAACGGACGTTTATGCATCGCCTGAATATGAAATTGTTGAAGAATTTAGGAGGCCAATATCAAATTTGGAAACGTTAGATACTTGTAGTGATGTAGAACCACTTACAAATGGTGTTGATGTTGAAGTTGATGAAAAGGATGGTGCAGAAATTGTGTGTGTGGAGAATAATGAAATGAAAAATTCTTCTAAATCTATAATTGAGGAAGAAATTTTGAAAACAGATGCAAATCTACTAAAAGATGAAGAACGATTAAGTAGTAATGAATATAATGGTCAAAATGATGAAACAGACTTACCAACACGATATTCTTCTGATTTAGATATTAGTGATGAAGAATTTAATGATGAAAATACTAAAGAAGAACCATCAAAAATTGAAATGATTATAAACTTTAATGGTGATCAATCATGTTTAAGCAATAAAAATGAGGAACATACAGATATCATTTCTAAGACTTTCCCTTGTTCGCAAATTGAATATAAATTGGAAGAAGTAGATATTAATAATCAAGATTTTCAAGAAGAAAATATTCAACAAATAGATGAAAATACACTTAATAATTCTTTTAAATCAATTAGTAATGATGTTACTCCTAATGATGAGGTTATTGAAGTATCTAATGAAGAGGATACTAAAAAAGAACCTCCAGCAATTGAAAATAACATAAAATATGAAGATGAATTAACTTTAAGTAATAAAACTGATGAATGTAGTAAAACTAAAGAAGTTTCTGAAACAACTTATTGTCCACAAATAGAATATAAATTGGAAGAAATAATAAGTAAAGAAATTGATAATCAAGATTGTCAAGAAGAAGATAATCAACAATTAAATGAGGATACTAAAGAACTTGCAACAATAAAATGTGATGAATCTTTAAGTAATAAAAATGATGAATGTATAAAAAGTGATGAGATTATTCCTGAAACAAGGCATTGTTCAGAAATTGAATATAAATTGGAAGAAATAGGAAATGCGGAAATTGATAATCAAGATTGTCAAGAAGAAGATAATCAACAATTAAATGAGAGTTCTTTTAAATCAATTATTAATGATGTATCTAATGTTGAGGATACTAAAGAAGAACTAGCAACAATTGAAATGAATATAAAATGTGATAAATCTTTAAGTAATAAAAATGATGAATGTATAAAAGCTGATGAGATTATTTCTGAAACAAGGCATTGTTCAGAAATTGAATATAAATTGGAAGAAATAACAAATACAGTAATTAATAACCAAGATGTTGACGTAACCACCCTTAATAATTCTCCTGAATTCATTATTAATGTTGAAACATGTTCAAGTAGTAAGAATGTTGAGTATAGTGAAACTAACGAAATTTCTCAAATTCCCCAATGTTCACAAATTCAATATAAATTGGAGGATGTAACAAGTACAGAAATTAATGTTGGATGTAATAAGCAAATTGAGGAAGATAAACGAAAGAAATTGTTTGAACAAAAAAATTTTCTCTTATCTATTGGTTGTTCAGAAATTAAGTATGAATTAAAAGAAGTAACAAATGTAGAAACTACATCCAGTTATTTAGAAGAAAAACATCAATATTCTTGTGATAGTGAATTTACGCTATTAGAAGAATCAAAATGTGTCGATGAGAACGCAAATTTACAAATGAAAATTGAATCCCAGGAAAATTTCATGACAAGTAATAAAATTAAAGGTGAAGATCTATGCACTGAATATGTTTCTAAAGATGTAAATATAACAACTAATCGAGAAGTATCAAAAGAAAGTTTAGATTTGGGTTTTGATGAAGTTTCATCTGGAACTGATGAGGATGAGGGAAGATTTGCCGAAGATAGTTATTTATGGGAATTGAAACAACCATCGAAATCCTTTGGAACTGCTCTTTCTAAATTCAAAGCAATTGAGGAAAAAACAAAAAGTAGTAATAAAACAAGGAAAGTTTTAAGAAGGAAAACATACGCGAATTTTGCTTCACACTCCGTAGCGGAAGAACTTACACAAATTCGATCTAGTGATACTTCCGATTTAGAATTATCCCCACAAGTTTCCGATGTACAAAGTAATAACAACCATTGAGGTTAACTAATAAAAAGAATTTAATTGTTACACTTTGTAAAACGTTCCCTATGCTATGTGATATTATGTATATAAAAAATAATTAATGTTATTATCAACTAAAACATAGAAATAAAAACGTTAATTTTTAAATTTAAATTTTATTGATTTACATAGTACGCCATCTATTATCACAAAATATAATCGTGTCAAATAACATTTTTAATTTTCAAAAATTATTATTTTAATAAAGATTTTAAACTAGTCATGATTTATGAATGGTCATGATTTAGAATCGATTGCAAAAAAAATTCTTTCATATCAATCGCTCAAAAGAATTAGACCAATTTAGTAACTTTAGCGTTACACGGTTGGTATAAAATGGCGTTTGACAGATAAGCAACGCAGCATATTTCAACACTAACACACTCTAAAATAAACCAGAAAAACATTAATTAATTCAAAGAAATCCCTCGATATTTACATCATAACAACTTGTTTAGATCTCAATAATTTGGTAAGTATATCAATAAAACCAATTGCGTTCAAACCACATGACTAATTATCACGTTTTTAAATCCATATTTCGTGCTAATTAAATATACAGTTTGATGGTTCGATAAAACGTAACCTATTCGTTTTGTTTATAAGGTTAAAACATGTACAATGGAATTGGTTTGGCCACGCCAAGGGGTTCAGGGACAAACGGTCACGTACAGAGGAATTGGGCGCTGGTTAAACCTCGCGAAAAAGAAAAAAATTACAAGACGGAGAGTGAATTAGCCGTTTTAGATACAGCGGCTAATAAACAACCGAATAAAGAAATTTTGGACCATGAAAGAAAAAGGAAAATTGAATTGAAGTGCACAGAATTTGCTGATATTTTAGAAGAACAAGGGTAAAAGAATTTACAATTATTTATTTTCGTTCTTATAATATTCTTTAATTATAGATATAGCGAAGAAGCAATCAAAAATAAGGTGAACAATTATAGAAATATGTTGATGGGACACGATGGGAAGTTGGAGAAAACTGTTGATCAATGGGGACGTGTTTGGTGAGTTAATTAAAAAATAAGTATAAACTTAAAATAGATTATATAAAATTATATTAGAGGTAATTTTAAATGAAGCAATTTATCTGGCGGGTTGGTGTAGCCAGAATATAATTGTAGCAACTATAACAATTTTTTAAGAACATTTTGGATCACACCCAACTCAAAGACTTTTTTACAAGAATAAATACTTTGTTGCTTGTTTTCCATGCTATTTATAGTTGGAATTTAATTAAAAATGAAATAACAATAGGCGCTAAGATATCCTAATGTAAGGTTTATTATTTTATATAGGTCCCCATATCACTTCATGTGATGTATTTGGAATTGTTTACAGTTGAGAACTTGATAAGATTATTTTTATTCTGAATATAGGTAAGTTTTGATTTAATGAAGGAATTGAATATCAATTACCTTTAAAATTTGATGTTAAATTTTGGTGATTTGACATATTTAGAAATGTTGTTTGTTAAATTAAATTTATTTGTACATCATTTTTTTGGCTCCCAATAATGTAATGACAAACTTTGCTCAGACATCAAAGATTTCTTCAACAAGGATACTTTGACACCAAAACACACTATATGAAAACAAGCTCAACAAAAAAACAAGTAGAAACGATTGCGACTCTGTTTTTGGCTTATTAGATGAATGATTAACAATTCAATATCATACAGTTTGGATTAAAGAACAGTACAGCAACCAATTCCAAAGACCTATCAATGGAATGTTATGAGTACAACCACCCATACAGAAATTTAATGTCGCAAACTGCTTAAAAGCATTCCCTTTTTTCTGCGCGAACATTCTGGCCTTACTGTTGAAGCTTCAATTACACCACTCCAACTTAGAGAATCCTTTTGTATTGTAAAAGGGTGCTGGAAAAGTAATTGCTGCGAAAGAAAAGTAAATTAAGAGTTGAAGGTTCAACAATTTCACTTGCAGATTGAAGATAAGGCCTGTTTATAACTCTTAATGTTAGAAGAACTCTTGCAGGAGTTACAGGACGACGCCTTGCGGATGTAGACTTAAGCTGGTGTTATACTTAGCAGTAGACAATTGGATCTCTGTGGTGGGACCCGCCATATTATAGCGAGTTGCCAAGGTACGCTGCTAATTGTGGTAAAGATTTGGCGGGATACCACCAATGTATTTTGTACCTTTGGTAACTCGCGATAAGATGGCGGATTTTTTTTTAATCGAGGTCACAAAACAAGGTACCGCCAACATCAAATAAACTGTGATGACAGTACTGCTAGGGGATGTTAGACATGTCAACCCTTTGTCAGTTAAAACTGATGTTTTAAACATATATTTTATGATTCTGCTATACATTTTAAGGCGGCTTTCCATTTTACTTGATTCTTATAATAAGATGACTTTGTATTCCACAAACGTTCCTTTTTGCTATACAAATCAATTAAATTTAAAATTTTCTTTTTCAAAGTACCAAAAGTAGAGAATTTTCTAGTGTTAACAGTAATTTTATACACGCAAATTTGATTCTGACAAGGCGATCTCGCAGTGTTTGCAACATCCATCAAGACGTTACTTCTGATTAGAGATGGCTGAAAATATACGGCTCTAACACAGCCCCGTCACCTTTTACATAGCTATATCATTGAACAAGATTTTTAAATCATCCAATAGTTAAAACGACATAATCGCAAACAAACCTCTTTCTCGCTATTTTCAATTATGTCCAATAAGCCATCGTGAAAAAAAGGTTTAAAATATGCCGAAACATAGTACTCATCTTCTAATAAATGATATGTATTACAAGATGTTCCCATGAATGGGATTTTTTGTAGGGCTGAATTGGGTTGGTCTGTGCAATATTTCAATCCAACCTCATCCAGTACTCAAGATCATTGTTTGACCATCGTCTGTCTAACTATCCTTTTCCAACTTATAACCACTGCCATTATCATCTGAATCACTTTCTAACAAATTAGTGCAACCCAAAACCTTCGTTGTCAGTTCGACATTGAAAAAATACCCGAATGTTTCTACTTCTAGTGTTAGTTATAGTTTTAGTTTAATGAAGTTGTACACTCATAATTCTCTAAGAAAAAATGGGTTGGGATTCCCGCAGGAACTTGGAATATCAACCGAACCTGACCAAATCCAACACAACCTAAACACAACCCAAACACCATCCAATGCAACCTAACCCAACCAATTGGAAAATAGGAACTATCTGTTTAGTCTAGAAAAAGGGGAATAAGCTAACCTGTGAAAATTATTGTGGCAACACTACTATGTACGGCATACCAGCTACTAGTGTTAGTTAACTTACTAGCGCAATAACAAGTAGATATATTTGAGATTTGTAAATTATGAACCAAACTAGTTACTTTAAGTCATAATATGTTTATATCGGCGGGAGTCCACGTCCAAAATGGGACCTTATGCTGGAAAGTTATGGATTATATGTCACAAAGTAACAAACTCATTTTGAGTACAAGTCATGGTGTGGCACCATTTTATAAACCACATATGTCTGAATATGACTGATGCCAAATGTGTCTAAATGTCCTCAACTGCGTCCAAGTGTGTCTAAATGTGCCCAACTGATCCCAAGTGTGTCTAACTGTCCCCCCAACTACTTTTATGTATATCTATTTTAAACTATTTTAAAAAAATATCTTTAATGCAAGTTTCCTCTTTCACAGAATTCAATAAACTTTCATTTCCAAAAATATGTACTTATAATATTATTAGAAGTAATTGATTTAAGTGTTATTGAGATCTGTTATTTTGAGTCATTATTACATCTGTGTTACTCATATGCATAAAATTATGAAGTACTTATATTTAAAAATTCTTTACGTTAAAATAACGTGGTACTTGTTAGATAAATTGATAACTTAAAACGGCGACCACTTCCGGGATTTAACCCCTTTCGACGTTTGAAACGTTAAGAGGATATACCAGTCTGATAATAATTGCGTCGGTCGCAAGAGGTCGTCGGGATATCGATTATTCGCCGGATTCAGTTTTCGCGCATTTCCCCTCTCTCCATCGTCTCATGTCGGGTTTCCCGGAACATCCCCTTTAGTAGTCCTTTTACGCGATCGGTGGACGCGGCCGCGTTCCCCGCAAAGACTAGCGACGAAAACGGCCAAGATGTAGAAAGCCGAAACGCAAACAGAACCCACTTTTAGAAATCGAATGTCTTCCACGTAACTGCTGAAGCAGTTACGCTCTAGTTTTTAAGTGCAAAACCCAAGTCTTCCAATTTGATGCTGTGGGCAATATAAAAGAAATTAGAAAAATAAATTAATCGATATTATTAATAAGGAATTTTATTTTTGTAAAAAAAATATATAAAATATTTGTGAAAATCGAGATGTTTTATGGAAATTCGAGGAGGTTTTCGGTCGATGAGAGGGTTATTTTTGAGAGGTTGTGGAGGGATGCTCTCTGTCAAGCGTTGGGGCCGAAGGCGCCCATCAGATTTGCGAATAGGAGACAATGTTGCTGTCACTGCCATTGTGTTATGGGTAATCCTCATAATCAACAACGGCCTTTACAAATTTTACCTCCAAGAAATGCCATGAGATCTGTTGTAAGGTAGATTTAAAAAAAAAGTTATTTTTTTTTAAATTATTTTAATTTGATAATATAAAAGTATTTCATGTGTAGCAGACAGATGTTTCGTTTCGCTCTCCCCTAATTTTTTCCTCCAAATATCGATCCATCGCCCACAATTGTAAACCCCCTCACGTAAATGGGGTGAATTGAAAGCACCCCACATACTATATAAACCATTCTTCTATTACGTTTTATACGATTTCGTTGATATCACTCAACTATATAAAATGGTTTGTCAAAGTAGTGTTGTTATACAAAATTCGTGAGTCTAATTTCTAACGATTTAATATAAATAATTTTTTATTTTAATGCTATTTTTACTTGTTTTTTTATTAAAGTGTAACTGAAACACATCAAGTGGCTGAAGCACAACAAGAAAAGAACGCGAGATTGAGGGAGGCTTTCGGAATTTCGGAGTATTTTGTTGACGGTAGCAGTTTTGATCCGGATCGGCAAGCTAAGGAACAGCTTGCTAAGCAGGAAAAGGAAAAGGAAAGGGCTTTAGAGAGGGAAAAAGAAAAAGAACAGGAAAAACAGCAAGCCGCTCGCTACGAACTCGTTCACACACCAAGTCCTGAACCGCAAAGTAATGGAAACGATAAAGATAAAAAGAAGAAGAAACGCAAGATGAGGTAAGTAAAGAGTGAATAAAAAATTGTTTAAAAATCGCTTTATGTTATTGAATTTTATAGCTCATCGAGTGAGGAGCATAAGAAAAAGAAGAAATCAAAGAAACGAAAGAAAGAAAAGTGAGTTTTTAGTGAGGGTTTGTTAATTGTTAAAATTTCTTGTTTATTTATTTCTTATTTCTTTCAAAATTAGTGCTTCATTAAACTAAATCATTAAACAGTCGATTTTAATCACTTGGCAGCACTACTTTTGATTATTGTACATAAGTTTAAGGTTAAAAAAAGAAACTCTTGTGCTTACATTTTTGTGTTAGTACAAAAATTTAAAAAAACCAAAACTTAATGAATAATAATAGAGTTTTTATAAATTTTGCGACAACTACTAATTGACTCGTTGGTGTATTTTCTTGCGGTACGTGTTTGAAGGCCTACAGGTAATGGTATCGTTTTGGCACGTCTAATTTAATTTGACTTTGCTTATGTCTAGCTATACCCCGGTCGGACTGAAGGTGCGTTCACACTTAACGGCTTAAACGTTTTTTAAAAACGATAAATGTATTTTTTTCTCATTTATATTTTGATTCTCGAACATTTATATAAATGATTTTCGTGTTCGCGGAGTCCATATAAATTCCCTTCACCGTTGTAGCTCCTTTTTTAACACCGCGTGAAGGGAATTTACATCGGCAAATAGACATAAGTTTTTAGAGAGCAATGCCAGTGTTAAAGAAGTACCGTGTTTTTTTTATCTCTTTTTCAACTCCTTTTATTGCTCATTACGATTTCTTTCTTTCGCAATAGATCGAAAGATAAGAAGAAAAAGAAACGTAGAAGATCATCCGTTTCTAGCGATGATGAATCAAATTCTAGTTCAGGCGATGACTCAAGCAGTGAAGATGAGAAGAAAAAGAAACGAAAAAAGAAAAAAGAGGTTTGTTTTAATTATTTTTTACATTTATTTAATGAATGAATGGTTTAAATATAATTTTAGAAGAAGAAAGCAAAGAAAAGAAGACATTCCTCATCTGATAGTTCCCGCGAAAGTTCTCCTGAACCAAAAAAGACAAAAAAGGATAAAACCCCGCCGAAAAAGCACCAAAATCAACCAACTCTTTCGTCGCGAGATCAAAAAAATAATAAACCATCTTCGAAACAGGATCGTCGATCAAGGAGCATTCACAAATCATCATCTGGGAGGCGACAATCTTCAGAATCTCCTTATAATAGAAAAGAAAGGGATCGTTCGCGTACAAATAGGTACAGGCAACAAGAAGAAAGTAGGAATTATGAAAATCGAAGGCAAGGGTATAGACATAGATATAATAGATCGAAATCGCCGAGGGAAAAGCGAAGATCTAAGTCTTATTCGCCTTTAAGAAATAAGGAAAGTAAAGAAAATGTTGGTGATAAATTTCGATATCGACGAGAAAGTAGAGATCGATATAAAGAAGTACAACAAAAATCGTTAGAACGAAATGAATCGCGCCAAAAAGAAAGAAGTAGAGAAAGAGATAATGGAAGTAAAGAAAGAATTCGGGGGGAAAATAATAGAGAAAAACTTGAAGATCGTCAAGAAAGAAGTCGAGAGAGACGTGAAGAAGATAGAAGTCGTGAAAGAAGAACTGAATTAAATAAAGATCGAAAAGAAGAAAGGAATAGAGAGGAAAAAAGATTAGATGTGAATTTGAATAGCAGAAGAAATCGTTCAAAAACACCACCAAAAACGTTAAAGAAAAACAGTGTTAGTCCACCAAGAAAAAGTCATACACCACAAAACACAAAATACGGAGATCACATTCAAATAGAAACAAATTCAAAAAAACAATCAGATAACGAAATCGATTCAAATCAACCCGAAAAAAATCGAAATAACACCCCCATTCCACTTAATCGTAAATCGTCATCGAAATCAAAAACCCGTTCAAGATCCCGTGATAATTATAATCCATCTTCTTCAAAAATTTACGAAAAATATTCACCATCGAAAGAAAGCGAAAGATCCCCGACACCATTCGAAGATAAATCAAGATTAATTCAAAAATCAAAAGAAAAAATTAAACAAAAAAAGCCACAACTTCCCGTCGTTCGATTACGATCGAGTAGTGAAGATGAAATGTCTCCTAATGATTACGATAAGGAAGACGAGGAACAACGCGAAAAAGAAATCAAAATGCTTAAGGTGTTAAAATCGGGTTTGGCGGCGAAAGCTAAGGAAAGTTTGGAGAAGAAAATTCCGAAATTGAATAGTTTTTCGATTCCGAAATTGGATGTGGCGCTGATGAAGGTTGAAAAGGACGAGAAACGGGAGAATGTTGTTAAAGATTCGTTTGATATTAAACCGTTTACGACGAAGAGTGAAAAAAGTTCGGTTGATTTGAAGAAATTGAAGGAGGTTAGGAAGATTTTGGAACGATACGGTAGTAGCGATGATGATGATAATAATTTAGGGGAAAATCGGAAAAGAACTGTTTCGAGGTCTTCGAGATCGAAATCAAAAAGTAAATCAAAATCGATTAGTAAGGAGAGGAAAAGTAGGTCGAGGAGTTTTTCTCATTCCTCTTACAGGTAAGAATTAAAAAAAATCTGATTTTAAGTTTTTTTTTTATTGCCAGACTAGTAAATTAATTACATTACACAACTAAAAGGACTTCCTCACTTACAAAATAATAAACATAAGTCAAATTGAATGTAACATTTAACATCTTTAATTCAAGTAGATGTCTTGTGGTAGTTTTCGTTTAAATCAACAGTGGATGTTCTTTTTGCTGATGTTGTTGTATGGCTGTAGTAGTTCTGTGTACTGTATGCGTTCGTGAAATCGGAAGTCATGGTAGATATAAAGACTATGATACTGCCAATTTTTAATTTGTTGTGTAGTTGATCATTAAAGATATACCACTCAGAGTCTACTGCTATGCATGTTTTGTATATAACAGACACCTCCTTCTCCATATTAATCCAGTAACTTTGTTTTTCTTTTAGTTCAAAACGTAATAGTTCTCAAAGTAGATCTTCGTCATCATCATCTAGTCGAAGTTCATCTCGTTCGTCGCGATCAAGAAGTCATTCAAGTTCGCGTTCGTCAAGTTCTTCGCGGAGTTCAAGTAGCGGTTCAAGATCGAGATCGCCGTCGATCCCGCGACGACACGGATCGCCGAGCTTTTTGGATAGGCGCCGAATAACCAGGTAAAAAATTTTGCATGATTTCACACCGATGGCACCAATTCAAAATTATTTGATAGCATCGAGACGGACACGTTTCCTTTTATTTTGCTTTCTCTATTTTTCAGCAAGAAGTAGTAGGATTTTAGACATGTGTATGTGCCAGAATCGTGTGATTTATTATAATTATTATTAATTATTATCATAATAAGTGAACCCTCCCTCCAAGTAGCTCTTTCATATCGTTCTTTTTGTTTTGGGTTCTGAGATTTTGTTTTGTTTCATTTTTTTTTTGCTTGGTTTTGATTTTTATTAATCAAATTATAATTTAGTAATTACAGAAGATTATATTGATTTGAAATATAATTTTTGATTTTTTTTTTGTAGATAAGTAAACATTTGTATTCTTTCTTGTTTGTAGGCGATAATAAATTTATGATTTTTTTGATATATTTGGTTTTATTGTTTTAAATGTTTTTTCTAGGTGTTTTTCTTTTTATTGTTTATATATTAATGTAAAATTCGATTGGGGTTAAACTCCAATCAAATTTTATATCGAAATAATTGAGTTAATAAAAGAAATCTTTCGTGTATACTTTAAATTAGCCATTTTTTTACTTTTTTTGCACCATGTATTTTGAAAAGGTAAGTATAGAGTTAATTTTTTTCTTTTTTGCATGTAAGTTTTGTCAAAAACTTTTAATCATCCCCAATTTTGTTTTATCTTACAAATTTTGGTTTAACGTTTTAATCAACTAAACTCCTTTCTTTGTTTTGCCGTTTTTTATACTAACAATTTACTAAAATTAAATTAACCAGTGCAAGAAAACGACCAATTCCTTATCATCGACAAACTCCGAGTTCGCCATCTTCAGTGAGTAGCGGAAGTCGAAGCCCTTGGTATATCAGAAAACGCAGCTTTAGTAAATCTCCAAGTCGCACTTCAAGATCAGCTTCGCGATCACCCCGATCCCCCTAAAAAAATCTTACCTTAAATACTTCACTCATGATTTTTTTTAGCAATAAATTAATTTTCTAGTCTCTTATTAACTAAATGGTGCAATATACTTTATTTTTGAACTACGATATTATTTATAAAGGTTTGAATTGAAAAAAAAACATACCTGTGATGGATCTTATTATTTTCTAGGTGCAATTTTATTATTATCAATTAATTTATTACTATTTATAACTTATTTTCTCAACGTAGATAATCTTAATGTAGCGTATTTATAAAAATTTAATCTTTAAAGGTTTCTAATTTCGAATTAATTTATATGTTACTAATCACTGTGAAAAAAAAATATCTGCGATATCTTAAATGATCTTGATATTTTTAAAATACTCATTTTGTCGTCGTTTGATTTAAAAACGCAAAGTACAAGTAGACTTCTTAACTTTAAAACTTTTAAATAAGGAAACTGCTTAAAAAGGAAACGATCTCTAGTCGAATTATCATTCCCTGTTTTTAGTCTTTAAGGTTGTATTATTGTAAAGCAAATTAAAATGAAAAACAAGATAAACGAATCGAACTTATTAAAAAAAATGTAAGCTGTAGTGTGTAGATGTCAGTAAAGGTAAAAATGTTGGATTCAAAACAAGAAATAAATGTAAATCTCGAAAAAAAAGTATTATTTTAAAGTTTATTTCTAAAAATAACCCATTATAACAAAAAATACATATTATAACAATCATTTACAAATAATAAAAACAGCAAAGTTTTAAGGCACTACATTTATTCCAAGTAAATGATATTTGAAGGAATGTTTCAATTCTTCATCTTGTACCCATTATCATATTATATCATTAACTTGTATATTACTACATTGAAGTGCTTGAGTCTTAACAGATTGTATAAAATCTGAATTTCTAGATTTACCCTTACGTATAAAATATTGTATAAAAAACTTTTCAGTTATGATACCAGTACACACACCTTACGCAATAAGTGGATAATTAATATTGTAATTAAAAGACGGATTAGTGGAAGCTTTGTTATCTTTGGCCAAAAAGTTTTTATTACTTATTCAGATTTTTTCGATTTAGATTTGGCTTGTTGACGTTTTCTCGATATGTATACGATATAAAGAAATCCAACCACGTTTAATAATAAAACTCTCAACTAAAATTTAAAAAAAATTAATTTATATACAAATAATTAATTAATTTATATTTACCATTGGTGGGACAACGGTAAAGTTTAATATTTGAACCAGTGTTAAATACTTCCAAGCAGCCATCAAAGTCGGAACATACAAAACAAAAAGTTGCCCCAAAGCCCTATCGTGATTCTTTCCTTCGAATCGAGCCAAAGTGTACAAAATAAACGCTTGATAAATTGGGGTGTAAATCAATCGTTCTAAAATCAATTTTTTAAACACTCCAAATTTGGTTTCGTCGGTAACTATCCTTTCAACGAATTGATAAAAATAATGGGGACATGTTCCACCAAATAATAACCTAAATAAAAATGTTTAAGAAATACCATGGTATAATTCAAAATTTGGCTTAAAAATCGACGGGAAATCACTCAATAAAGCCGTTATAAATAAAGAAAAAGTGCGGAAATGTGTAAAATTTACCGAAAAATCACATTAAACTTTCGACGTGACGTCACTTTTTGTGACGTCATCGACCGTGCTAACCATATATTTGGTTAAAACGCATATTTTTTGTTTAGCCGTCTTGAAAGACGTGCGGCTAAAACCGAATGTTTCTAGTTCTCGGTCTAGTGTTGGTTGTAGTATTGCACTATCACTGGAACTAGTACAAGACCTAGAACTAGCATCACTCGGGTTTAGCCGTCTTGAGAGACGTGGGCTAAATGCGAACGTTTTCATTTTTCGGTCTAGTGTTAGTTCTAGTTTTGCACTAGATCTAACACAAGATCTTGAACTGGAATCATTCGGATTTAGCCGTCTTGAGAGACTTGGAGCTAAATCCGAATGTTTCTAGTTTTTGGTCTAGTCAAAGATTAAAGAGTAAACAAGATGCGACGCTAGAATGAGAAATTCTAGTTTTGAAAAGAGATAGAAGACATTCCAATTTAAATGTCTTGACAATACAAACCTAACCTACAAATGTGACAGTTAGTATATTCTAACCTATACAAGATGCGATGCTACAGTGAGAAACTCTAGTTTTGAAAACAGATAGAAGACATTCCAATTTAAATGTTGCAATCTCACCTAAATAGAGATAACCTTCAACATGTTAAAAAATGTTGAAGGTTAGGTGTTGACAGGTTTAATAGGAAAATGCATGGTTAACATTGCTTGTGACGTCACATTTTGTCAAAACTTTAATGTGATTTTTTAGTATGTTGTACACTTTTCCGCACTTTCTTTTTATTTTTAACGTGTTTTTTGAGTCACTTCACATCAATTAGCTTAAGCCACATGATAATTCTAAAATGTTTCACAATATAAATATATCATACCCAAATAGTGCATAAGCAAAAACACCTTTTTGATTAATAGTTTTCTTTCCTTCAATTAATTCACTTACAAGTTTTCCACTTGTTGCAACAATACAGCTATAAAAACAAAAAATAAATATAAACGTTTAAATACTTTTGCTCGTTTCTGTACATGTATTAAAACATAATTAAAAAAATCTAGTTACCTCGTTATAGCTTTTGTTAATACAGGATGGTTAAATAAATTGTTAAAATACCACATGGTAAAATTAAAAAGGGGTTTGGAAAGAACCATTTTTCCGGTAGTTTTTTAACGTTTCGTGGAACCAACGTCGAAATAGGACGACTACTGCCGTGAACTTTGAAAAGAAGATTGTGATGGATTGTGACATGAGCGGAAAGTGAGATAAGAGTTACTTACTTCGATGACTTGCAAATTCGAATTTTATCGATATGACGTTCAAAATATGTTTCGTTTACTTTATTTAGATAAAGATAACCTGTTCAATTTTACGTCGTTGACGATCTCTCAGGATGTTTATTTACTTTTTCTCAGATTGTAGGTAAATTTTAACTTTCTAGATACTCTTACGATTATGTAATAGATGGCGTAATTTGTACTATTTAAAAGGTAAGATTAGTGGTGGTAAAGTAAAAATATATTTTCTCATCTACATCATAAAATACGATTATTTATATATTATTTTTTTAACTAATTTGTACTTTATTTTTAATTATAAATGTTTTTATTTTAAATTTTCGATACCATTCGTGCTGCCATCTGTTGACAATAGACATGACAATTCGATTGAAATAATATGATTCTTTTTAAAAGAATGTGTTTATTTTTTGATTTGAATAATTTTTTAAAGTTCTATTTTAAAGAATGCTCCTTATTCGAATTAATAATCATTTTAATTGTTCAATAAATATGCTATAATTTTAATGCAAAATAATAATACTCTGCGCGCCATCTATCGGCAGTCATAGACATTTGGGAAACATATTTTATTTATAACTATTATTGTTATTACTATTACAGTTTGTATGATATATTCTATACCGTTTTAAGTTCAAATTGGCACTAATCAAACCCAAAATGGCAATAAACAAAACCAATTTGGCGACTGTCATATTCAAATTGTCATTAATCAAAATGACATTAATCAATTACGAAATGTCACTGTGAGCTATAGAACTGGAAACATTCAGGTTTAGCTATACGAGTTCAGGCTAAATTTTTCTTAAAAAAGTCCTCGATGCAATATCTTCTAGCTGTGCGTAAACATATTGTCACTAACACTCTATTCCATCTGGGCAATACTGTTCTTCTGCGTTCTCGAGCATAATTATCATAATACTATTCACTTCTCCGTCTTCTTGTAAATTTTCTCTGATTCTGTCTTTCCCACAACATTTAGAACACGCAAAAATGGAATGTTCCACATTATCCACTGAGTCACAATATGGCCAATGGTCACTTTGGCTTCTTTTATGCAAATGAAGGTGTTATAGCCTCGGTGCACGCCGTGCGATATGTCCATAATAATCTTAACAACACCTACAACAACAGCTTTGTTGTAAGCTTTCAAGTTTTTTCTATGTTTTTTTACATGTATCGCATCCTGCTAAGACATACAATCCATTTTCACCATTTCTTTTTAATAATCAAATTATGATCAATAATTCTCTCTTTCATGAACAATCTTACCAGTAATCTTGTAATCAATTCATCATGCTAGTTCTCTTTCTTTGGACAATCTTGAATTCTGGACACCTAGCGTCTTTGTAGATGTGAGCCTTGCAAATTATATTGACTTTTCTTCAACCTCTCTCATGCTCTATTGCCTGATACTGAAATTAACACTGTTTTAAACCGATATGATCATGCAGAGATACAACTGAGCATTAAATGAGCAATCTACAGATATTCACAACGAATTTGATAGAGTTCACACACGTTACGAAAAAGCGTGTATAACATTAATACAATATAATCTGATGATGGTTCTATTAATACATACGCACGTGCTTCAAAATCTAGTATTATGTTATTGTTATAGCTGAATATTAGAAAAAAATAAGAATGTATTTTTATATTTTTCAACACTCTGTATATGTATAGGTTCTGACTGCGCACATGACAATTCACGAATTCCACCCTTTCCTTAAACACCCTTTAATAGAATTCATCCAAAAATTTAGCAAGATCATTTGGATCTAATGGACTCAAACAATAAATTACGTATATTTATGTTATGTTATGCTGTAAGTTTTATATTATTGAATCTATTTATTAATATATGTAAATTGATTTCTTTTTAGATTTATGGAATTCTTTTAGTAATTTTAGGTGTTAGTTTACCAAAACTGACAAATTCATCAACAGATAAAATGAAAGGGGCTGCAAATACCATCAAATACATTGATGGGAGTAGTGCTGTAATAAATACCACTACATACATATTTCTTGCTTATGGAATTATGGTTTTGATTTTAACAGCTTTTATTTATAAATGCTTACTGATTGAAAATAAGAAACTTTTGAAATGGGTGCGATCAAAAAACATTGGATTAATTATCTTAAAGGAAATATTTTAAATCACTTTTTCTTTAGTTACGTATTTTATTGGTGATAGCAATCACTATTAAGATAGGAACTGGGTCGATTCTATCAACTCATATACTAAAACAAAAATTTGCACCTGCTATCAGAAGTAAATTGATAAATAACTTTATTGAGATACCTTTTCATTCTTCTAAACATTTTAAAGCACAAATGTTTTTTGAGGAAAAGGCAAATAATCAAATTAAAATAATTTTAACTTTAAATATATGTAATTTCATATTTTAGTATGATTGTTGCGGAGTTGACAACTACACTGATTACAATGTTATATTTGAGAGCAATGATTTGCATTATCCCGAAAGTTGTTGTACAAAATACAATAATTTTTGCACATTAAAAGACGAAATCAAACCCGATGGTTGTTTTGATAAACTTCTCATTGGGTTTCATACCAGTTTTGTTCCCCTTCTGGTGGCGATCGTTGTAGGATCAGTAATAGAAGTAATAAATTTAAAAATTAGTATTGCTATAATAGTTATTTTAATTGTAGACCACCATAGGAGGAGAAATTAAAATGATTATTGAAAAGGTAAATAAAATTCCTGGAGGTAATAATCTACAAGGTGTGACTCAAATCGAATCTACCGCTGTTTAAATACTACCTATTTATTTAGGTACATTAAAAATCTTCTATTGTTGCCAAATATTATAAAAATGTTCTTATAGTTATTTATATTTATATTACAAGTCTGGTAATTGACTTGTAACATTATGAGTTAGATATTAAAGAGGAGGCTCCTTTGAGAGTAATTGTCTTCTAAAGTAGGTAAGACTTTGTATCATTACCAAGCCATTTAAGAAACGATATTGCCGAGGTCGCTTGCGGATGAGGCGCTGGATTTGATACATCAACACAAAATCGCCAACATTGAAACATTTTAGCGCCTCGGCCGCAAGCGACCTCGGCGGTTTGAGTGTACCTGTCTTCTTATAAGAGGCTTTGTATTTTTGCTAAGACATTTAAGAAACGATATTATCTCAAATCGCCGAGGTCACTTGCGGGCGAGGCGCTGGAGTTGATATATCAACATAAAATCGACACCTTTGAAACATTTTAGCGCCTCGGCCGCAAGCAACCTCGGCTGTTTGAGTATACGTGTCTTCTTACAAGAGACTTTGTATCTTTGCCAAGACATTTAAGAAACGATATTGCCTCAAATCGCCGAGGTCGCTTGCGGGCGAGGCGCTGCATTTGATATATCAACACAAAATCACCAAAATTGAAAGATTCTAGCGCCTCAGCCGCAAGCGACCTCGGCGGTTTGAGTACACATGTCTTCTTATAAGAGGCTTTATATCTTTGCCAACACATTTAAGAAGCGATATTGCCTCAAATCGCCGAGGTCGCTTGCGGGCGAGGCGCTGTGTTTGATATATCAACACAAAATCTTGAAAGATTCTACCTTAAGCTCTCACTGTTAAAATTCGCCTACCAGACTTATAATGTAAATAAAGTATTAAAAAGCTTGTAGTAAAAACTAGGTATAAAATGCTTAATTTTATAATAGTTAATATGTAATAATAATTAACTAATGCATAAAATTGGGTATTCTCAGGGGTAAAATGTAATGAGATAATGTTAACGTTGCTTATAATTGTTATAAATTATTAGCACTAAGAGTCAATTAGATTATATAACAATGACAATAAAAAAAGAAAAATTATTTTGAGACAAAAGTAAATTTTTAATATACGTTTTATACATTATAAAAAAGTAACAGTGCATTTACAATTTAAAATAAGCCAAAAATTAATTTAGATTTGATGGTACAAACATTCATAATTTAATGTTTAACTGTAGCAATATATCTTTTTTTAAACTTAATAGTTCTTTATTATTATCTACATCCCTGAAAATAAAACAAAATAAATTAAAAACCTAACAATAAGGTAATATTTTAATAAAACCTTACTTTTCTAAAAATACCCATAAAACGCTCTTTGTACTATCTGGTAAATAACTCTTTCTCAGCGCACTTTGCAACGCCTTTAAGCAACCCCCTAAATCCCAGTCTAATTCTTTTTTATCTTCACTTTTAATCAAACCAAGATGAACGAGTAAAGAATTATTTACGAGAGAATAATTCCCATCATTTTCCATTGTGAATATCTTTTTATATAAATAGTCAGTGCATTTTAATGATTTTTCACATACTTCTTTACTTTTACACACACTTAAAGATGCTACTTTCATCAAAATAACAAGTAACGAATCTGAATATGTTTGATTATTTTTCTACAAAAAAAATTAAAGAATTAAAAAATGAAACAAACTTTTGTTTTATATTCAAAAATACCTCAACCTCTTTAAGCAGTAAATCTGCTACGTTATCACCTAAAGACAAAAAATTTTCTGATGTGGGTTCCTTTAAAAAATCCTCAACTGTAACTTTTGAATCTAAAACTCCATTATTGTTATCGATCTCATTAATTTCGTTTTCATGGTCACTTTCTGTTCCTGTTTCATCATTCACTTTTTCATCATCATCTTCATCCTCATCCTCTTCATCATCATCATCATCATCACTACCAGCTGATTCATCATCACTTAAACTTTCCAATGTATTCAATTTCCCTAAAAATAATAATATTTATTCCTTTTTTTTAATTTAATTTGTAACATCAATTTTACTTAAACTTACCCACATCTTTTAGTAAAGTTTTTATATCTTCACATCCATCACTTCCAAATTTGTTAGCACCCAAATTAACACAAACAAGTTTTTCTTTATTAATCAATGCTTTAATTAATTGAATTCCACCGTCACTTTTAATCTCATTGCCAGCCAACATTAACTGCTCTAATTTCATGCAATGTTTTAATCCGTGAGCCAAAGTAATGGCACCTTTATTTAATAAAAGACAATCACCGAAATTAATTTCTCTTAATTCTTTTAATTGTGGTAAAACAGAAGCTATTGCTTTACTTCCTTTAGGTCCGATTGTATTATCATTTAGATTTAAAACTTTTAAATTTAAATTGTTTTTAAATGCATTTGATAAAGCTGTTATACCTATGTTGTAAATACCGTTTTGGGGCATTTCTATTTCTTCTAATGTGCCAATAGTCTAAAATGGGTGTTATTTAGAAAATGGATTAAAAAATTTTGAGATAATCACCGAAAAAACTTCTGCTAGAGCTTTTGCGCCATCATTTTCCAAGCGATTTCTCCCAACTATAAATACTTTCAAAGATAATGGTTTTCCTTGACTTTTACTTGAATTGTAACAATCTAATAAAGCAGATGCTAAGAGTTTTCCACCCCCAATTCCAAGACCATTATTGTTTAATCTAAGTTCTTCAAGTGCATAACATGATGAGCTTCTTAAAAGTGAAGCTAAACCTTCCACACCAATTGGGCCAAGTGCATTATCGCTTAAGTCTAATTCTGTTAACTTAGCTCCAGCAGTAACTAACCCATTACCTAAAAATTGCTATCAAAAAAATCGAGATCTAATTAATTCTCAAATTTTCTTAAAACCCACCAACGCTTTAGGAATCTCAGTTTTCATTCGACCAGTAAACATATCCTGCCATTGAGCTCTCTTAAATTCTGGATGTTTTTCTAAAGCTTTAGCAATAACACTTGATGCTTCAACCCCCAAAGTATTTCCTTGTAAATTCAAATATTCTAAATACGGACAGTTATCTATTGCCTCCACAACAGGTTTAGCTAAAAAACACCTTTACTAGAACAAGCGTTCGAAATCAATTTGTGATGCTTACCATCATTAGCTGTATCTAATTTCAGAGATTTCCCCTCAAAGGAAACCCCAGTGGTGGCCACTTTAGTATTTTTCAATTGTGACGTTATATCTTCGATCGAAACCATTTTTGCAAGTTTTATTAAAGAATTTTAGTAGAAATAAAGAGGTATCAAAAAACGCGTTATAACCAGGTGTTTAAAAAACGTTAAAATCCGACGAGTTATTCGATTATAACCTCTATTTAAACACGTTTTTAGGTAAACATTTCGCGTGATGCAGTTGTTAGTTATTTTTAGTTGCCAAAATAAAAATTCTAAAATTACCATAATTTAAAATAAAAAATTACCAAATTAAATTAATTAATGCTTAAATATATTGTATTTAATCATTTTTAATACTTTTTTTTCATATTTATAGAAAATATAATTAAATAATTACAGTTTAAATAAAGTTTTATAATAATTGAATTAAAATATAAATTGAACGATAGATGTCGTGTGTTGGAATTGATGTTTGTTGTTTTTATTAAAGTGAGGTTAGAATACCTAACCAAACTAATTACTTTTTATGCTTTTTATTATTAACATTTAAAAATGGATGTTAATGATATAAAAGAAGGAAGTGCCATCCAGTTTAAAAAGAAAGGTAAAAAGAATTTAAGGAAACGAGTCAAATCGGAAGATAGTGATGAATCTGATAAAGAAGTCAGGTATATGATAAAACAATTCAATAAATTTTACTTATAACCTATCAAAATGTTATTATTTTAGATCAAAACTCAGCGACTTGAAAGAAATTCAAAAGTTACGTGAAAGACCGAATGGTATAAGTCTTGTTGGATTAGCTCTTGGAAAGAAAGTTTCAATGGCAGATGAAATTGTTGTTGTATATCTGATTAAACTAATAACATATATTACTTTTTTTCTTATTTCTGTTATAACCTTTAGGACGACCCATTTAACGTTCAATCCGGAGGAATGGTAAACATGCAAGCTTTAAAAAGTGGTAAAGTAAAACAAGTTGACGATGCTTATGACACAGGGATAGGAACCCAATTTTCTGTTGAAACAAATAAACGCGATGAAGATGAAGAAATGATGAAATACATTGAAGAGAAATTGGCAAAAAGAAAGGGAAACAAATCCGATGATGATTCCTCGCAAAGCGAATTTGATGATGATGCGAAAAAAATTAAATATTGTAGCCCTGAAGAAGCTGCATTACAAGCTGTCCCATCACATTTAAGGGAATCATCAACAAAACGTTCTGAAGAAATGTTATCTAATCAGATGTTGAGTGGTATTCCAGAAGTTGACTTGGGAATTGAGGCTAAAATTAAAAATATTGAAGCGACGGAAGAGGCGAAATCGAAATTGTTATGGGAAAAACATAATCAAAAGGATGGACCATCCCAATTTGTACCTTCTAATATGGCTGTTAATTTTGTACAACATTCAAGATGTAAAAATGTATATGTATCATATTGATATATTATAATTTGATTTATTGTTGTAGTTAATGTGGAAGATTTACCAAAAAGAAAACATAAAATTGAAGAAAAATCAGGAAATGCTGATGATAAAAATAAAACTAAGAAGGATGAAAAAGCTACTGATGATTATCATTATGAAAGATTTAGAAAACAATTTAGGAGATATTAAGTTAATTTAGTTCGCAATAATTTAAATATGTATAAAATGTTTCTAATTAATGAGTTATGTTGATGATTTTAACAATTATTTAATAACTTCTATAAAACATTTATTACTACTTTAAACTTTATCACATGATTTAGGCTTTATTTTATAACACATTTAAATGTAGTGTACTATGAATTATCTTGGGTAAAGTCGCTAAAAATTAACTTTGCGTCACCTCATCGAAAAAGATTTCCCCGCAATAACGCAAAGTCTGCAAGACACCATTATCAAACTGTATTGTATGGTATTTATTGTCAAATTGTATTGGGTTATACAGATACTGTAAGATTTCAGTGTAAATAAATATCTATCAAAGGTGACCTAAATTTGAGCTTTCATTACCTTGAAGCACAATCTATCTTGTTAGTACAGTCAAGCCCCCAAAACTTGATGACTCCTACGTGGTAATTAATTAAATCTGAATCTGGATTTAATAGGAATCTGGATTTTCCATTAAGGTGTCAAAAGTCTTCTACTGTTGAGTGAGAATGCTTCAAATCAAGAGCAGAGAAATTAATTAATTGTCTCGACCCTAGTTTATCTGTATCAGAACTAAGGCAAAATCCTGTGATGAACACTATAAATCTGCGTATCTATCAGAAAATGTCCGCTGTTCTACTTCCATATTATGACTTGGCATGATCTGGGGAATTGTTCATGAGGGCGCCCAACGGGACAAATAAAGCACAAGAAGACCCCGAATAACTACTGCAACTCCAATACTTTATCAGGCAACCTCACATGAACTAATTAACTAGATAATATTAAATATTTGTACAACAACTCAAATCTAACTTTGGAACACTGCAAGCCAAAAAGATTTTGGATCATAAATTCTGCTAAAATCTTAACTTTATGATTTCAGAATTCTCAGCAATTGTTGATGTTTAACTTGGTACACCAATATAGCAAGTGTTATAAGCAAATACATACTTACTGATTCAAGTTCTGTAATCATTCAATCATAGACGAATTTCCCAATAAAATTGAGGTTTGCGAAGAATTTCACTGTACTAAGAATAAAATATTCTCTAAAAATAATCTGATGCAACTCAAGTATTGATGTTTAGCAGTATTTGATCTTACATTTTAACTTTAGTTTAATTGTGGATGCTTTTTTCACATTTGCAAATGGAAAACTTAATACGTAAAAGATAACACTTCACTCTAATAAGTTTACATCATGGAATTTTGGAGGGAGTAAAAATGCGCATGAATCACTCTACGTATTCACATGTAAGGTATAAAAGCCCTGCTTTTAAGCCGCCTTGTTAATTTTAACAAAAATTGAGTGTGGTACCAGCAGTAAAAGAATCGTTTTCAAACGATATGGAAAGTAGTAAGTTTTTTTTTAAATGATTAGATTTTAATTCTAACAATTCAAAATCAAGTAAAGATATAATTTCGTAGATTGAAGAAAAATTAAGAATTGTATTAAATTTTTGTTACTTATATTTGTATTGTTAAGTTTGTGTAGTAATTTCATTGTTTTTAATCAAAAATAATGTTTAGTTAAAACGAATAATTAGAAAAAATGACTCATTTACAAAAAGAACCGATAATAAAATTTATTATAACAATTAGAAAAATGATTCATAACTGATATCTACATACATTCTTAATCTAATGAATTTTGTTATTCGTTGATTAATCTAATTTGAAATTCCTAACCATTTAGGTTTTTTCTTACTAACTGATATCTCATTTTTCAGAAATGACTCAAACTTATTGTTCTACCAATCCAGTTGTTTATACCATCGAAAATGAAAAGTGTGGTTCAACTTCTGATAAGGCGTGTTTGTGTTCGAAATGCAAGTGTGCTGCTTCAGGCCATGTTAATAATTGTGCATGCAAATCCATTAAAAAGTGTTCCTGCGGCAAACAATGTGGTTGTAAGAAAGAAATCCAAGGAAGTTTAGGATTGCAAAAAAAAACTTACTCCAAAAACTAATATTTATTGAATTGTTTAAAAAAATAATAAAAATGGAATTATAATCTGATATTATTTGTTGTTTCATTTCTTAACATTAAAAAAACACTTTAAATATTCTTATTCTCTTGTCCCCACTTATACCTTATGGTGTTGGGTTTTGTATCCTTTTTCTATATCTTCTTATCTCTGGCCATAGTCCGCACTTTAGCGAGTCTCTTCCCCCTTCTTTCAAACATCATTTCATTTCTTTTCATTTCATTTTCTTCTCTCCCTCTCATTAGGCTCTCTTGGTCTACCACGCTTTCTCTTTCCTTCTGGTCTCATGATAACATTTTTTTAGGTATTCTATCTTCTTTCGTTTGAACCAGAAGAACTTACCAACTTAGTTGTTTTTCCTCTATTTTCTGTACCACTGAGTTTAAGCTTACTTCTTCCCTGACGTTGTTGTTCCATATCCTTTCTCTTTTGGTTTCGGCAATATCTTGCGTAGGTACTTTATCTCTGCTGCTGTTATTTTTTATTTGTGCTTGTCCAACATCGTCCAAGTTTCTGATCCATAATCAAGTATGGGTATATAGATGGTTGTATATAATTGTATTTTTGCTCTAGTGTTTGGTTCCGTCTTGCCTACGATGGTGTTGTTTATTTGTTACTAGACTGCACTTGCTTTTGCTGTTGTGTTGCATATTTCCTGATCTATCTTTCCATCCTTACTTATTATGGTTCCAAGATATTCGTACTTCTCTACCAACTGCAGTCATTGCCCCTCTATTCTTATGTGAATATCTCTCGTTTATTTTCCCCTATGTGATGTGTAGGATCTTACTTTTGTTCTTGTTTATTGCCATTCCCTTTTCTTGTAGGAAAGTATTTCATATTTGGATGTTCTTTTGTAGGACAGGTTGTGGTACCACAGTTTCGTCTGCGTAGTTTGTGTTTTGACTTGATTTGATATTCTGTCCATGCTACAAAGAGTAGTGAACTCAAACTGTCACCCTGTTTCACTCCCTTTTCCATTCTGAACTCTTCTGACGTCCTCCCATTCAGTCTAACCCTTCCCATTACATTATGGTATACACTTTTGATTGCTCTTCTTAGTTTTGGACTTGTTCCCAGTTTGCTTAAAGCTTCCCAAATATGTTGTCTCGGTACCTGGTCGAAAGCTGCTTCCTGTCCGGTTGAGCATGGTTTATATTTTTTTTGGATCGCAGTTTATTTGCCCAAAGGATCTGAATGACTTTTCACTGAGCAAGATATTAATATTCGTTAGGAACATTGGACTACACGGTGAAATTTGATAATGTTATCTATCGGGCTACAATAGATCCTTAGGGTAACGGTGCAAGGTTGATTAGTCCGCCTACCCCATAAGTAATTTATGTAAATCTAATCCTTATTGAACTAAAACTAACACTAGACCTAGAAACTTTTTAGTTAGTTTCGTTCTTAGTTGTCATGCAGCGTGAGATTGTTGTGTATTTTTATTGAATTAAAACTGCAGCAAAATGCAAAAAATTTATTATAAAATGTGTAAGGGATGATGCCTAAAATCAGCAAAACGATTGTGTGACATTTTAAAGCTTTGGCAATCGCCTCATAGAGTTCATTGGCTTTAACATGAATTATGAATATAATGTCAAAATTAATCCTAACTTAAAAGCTTTCCCAAATAATTTATTTTAGTTAAAATTATTTGTGTTATTAAAATTATATTTATAATTATTTCTTATACTTACATCGATTTTTAATAGATGGCGCTAACACACAATTTCCGCCGATTTAAATCGCTTTCAAGTGTGCCTCGACGCTCAACGACAGTTTTCCGTCCCTGTCCAAACGTTAAGTATCTCTCTTCATCAACATGGCAGACATCTCCAAAGAGGACCTCCGCAAAGAAATTGCCGGTAAATATAGTTTTTTTATTACTGTTAACAACTTTTTGTTGAAATTATTGTTTAAATAACATCATTATATTAATTTCTAACGGTTTATAATTGAAATTTGATTTTTTTCTTGAATATTCTTGATACAAACAATGGCAGTGTAGGAACGCTTAGCAGCCATCTTTTTACACGATACAATATTCTCAAATATCTCTGTATTTACCCCATTTTATCTAAAATCTTACTAATGAAACCGAGATAATGAATTATTTCCAATTTTTGTAGGACTTTACCTCGTTCGATTTCGGTTTAGATTAATAATTTTTTTAATAAATCCGTTTGGCTTCTGACGCGCGTCTTTAATGGTGGATATAATAAAAACGATAATAATATAAAGCAAAAATGCTTTAATAAATTCGTTTTTATCTATAATTCTAATATTTATAACGGAATTGTTGATTCCCGCGCATTTTTACTCCATAAAAATACTTAACCTCAAAAGAAGACGCTTTCGAATGAGCGGCAACGCAATCTTCCGTCCTTGTTCAAACGTTATTCATCTTTCTTTCTCAACATGGCAGACATCTCTAAAGAGGACCTCCGCAAAGAAATTGCCGGTAAATACAGTTTTTTCGTAATTCTTAATCCGCTTTTTGTTGTAATTGTATTTTTAAATAATATTACATTAATTTTGGATAGTTTTTAAATGCAATTTGGGTTTTTACTTGGAAATTTTCGCCATACAAACAATGGCTGTATGTAGGGACGCTATGTATAGCGGTCATCTTTTTATCCCTACAAACATTCTCGGATATTTCTGTATTTACCCCAAAATATTTAAAATATTATTAATGAAATCGGCTTAAATAATTATTTCCAATTTACGTAGGACTTTACCTTCCCCAATTTCGATTTAATTCGAAATTTTGATTATAATTGCCATTTGCCTCTGACGCTCATTCAGTAACTCCATTTTATGCACAATTTTTGTCCATATGCCTGTTTTGGTTCAAGAATTTTGTAGTTCGGAACAATTTTGAACTTGTCCTTTTATTTTTAACCAAAATAATGCATTTTTGGTCTTAATAAAAATTGCTTATTAAATAAAATGGTTGTTACAGCAATTCTAAAGGACGCCGATTTAGCTTCTACATCAGCAAACAAAGTGAGGCAACAACTAGAGGAGAAATTTGAGACTAAATTAACTTCTCGAAAGAAGGAAATTGATAACCTCGTCATGGAACATGTAAGTACCAAGGGTAAGAAGAAGGCTGATAAGAAGAAGAACGAATCTGAGGAAGAGGATGAAGAAGAAGAAGACGAAGAGGAGGAGGAGGAAGAAGAAGAGGTAAAAAAAACATAAAATTTTTTTTTTTAATTATTAATTTTATTTTATTCAAAATTAGGAGGAAGAATCTGAAGATGATAAGAAAACCAACAAACGTGCTAGCGCAGCAAAGAAAAGTGCTCCTAAAAAGAAGAAAGTATCCGAAGAGTCAGAAGGAAGTGAACCATCTGATGGAGAATCCGAAGAGGAGTATTCCCCTAAAAAAGCTACCCCAGCAAAGACTCGTAAATTACCTCCCAAGAAAAAGAAGGATTCTGAATCTGACTCTGGTGATGATTGGGGGAAATCAAAAAAAGGCGGTAAAAAGGGCGGTGGCGCAGCTGCTGGAAAAGGTTATACAAAAACTTTGAAGTTATCACCGGAATTAGCCGCACTCGTGGGACAGGACACAATGGCTCGTCATGAAGTTGTAAAGAAAGTATGGGCAATCGTTAAAGAACGAAACTTATACGATCCCAGCAATAAACAGTTTGCTATTTGCGATGATGCCATGTTTAAGGTGATAGGTGTTAAACGATTCCGCACCTTTGGTATGATGAAATACCTCAAAAATCATTTTGTAAGTGTTTAAATTAACATTAATTAAAAATATATTAATAATAAAAATAATTTCCTGATTTTTTTTTTGTGTTATATTTTACAGAAATAATCCCAGCTTCCAATTCTTCAAGGAATCCCATGGTTTGTTGCAACAAGAACCAGTACTATGGCCCGACTTCAAAGTTTTGCCATTAATGCTCGAATCGATCGCGCAAGAATCTATCTAAAAAAATGTTGCTGCGAATCCGCTGGTGTTTCTAAAGAAAAAGTAAAAATAAAAAAACGCGGACGCAAAAATGAAATGTAAAGTGCTCCTGTGTGGAGGGCAGTGTGGCTGTAAGAAAAATCAGACGAAGCTCTGAATAAGACTTACTAAGTTTTTCAATACAATTTTAGTGTCTTTTTTTTTAGTAATAATTAATTGTTCAGTATCATTGTAATTTATGTATTAAAAAGTTATTTTTAATGGGTTATTTAAGACGAAAATATAATTGACTTTAAGAATCTTAATTGATTTATTTCCTATATATATAAATGTGTATTTATATATATAATATGTATTTAATATTAGGCAACCCAACCTACAATTAATTAAATTAAATGATTTACTTAAACTTTTTTAAATAATAAACTATTTCAACAAAGAATTTGATTATTTAAGATCCTTTAAAATAAAATCAAAAATGTTTATTTATTCTTGTTAAAAAGAGATACAATCTTAGTACGCCAATGAGATTGAGGTTAGATCCAAAAAAATTAAGACGTCATCGGCGTAGCCTTCTTGATTGCATTCCTACAATCGAAGTTGTTTGCTTACTTTATCAATTAATTTAAAAAAAAAACCAAGTACAAAATACAAAGTTCGTTATTAGCCACAACTTGTACGGTAAAGTAGTGTTGATTACAGTTTAATTTGCTTTAACAGAAAACAATGTTTCGCCAGGTAACTTAATAGAAAATTATTGCAATTAATTTTTTGTTTCAATTTACGCCAACTTTTAGGTTAGCAAATTGACAGTTTTTAAACAGTCTGTAAGACATTTTTCGAAGACTCCTTTAGCATGCTCGGCTGGAAAATACCCCAACGGATTTAATTTTGGTAAAAAGGACATTTCTCGATATATGATGCAGTTATAATACTAATTTTATCTCGCTTTATTTTTAGAACTTAATGACACTCAAAAAGAGATCCAAGAGTTAGCAAGGATATTTGTACGCGAGGAAATTATTCCTGTTGCAGCTGAACATGATCGCACTGGAAAATATCCATGGGAAATTATTAAGAAAGCATGGGCATTAGGTTTAACAAATAATCATATTCCAGCTCATGTTGGTATGTTATTAATTTATTAAAAGTTTGATTTTGTCTTTAAGGTTTGTGGATGATGAAGAATTGGTCTAATCTTTACTGCTTAGGTTATGATGCAATTTCTGATTCATTTCCATGTTTGCTATTTGCAAATGATGCCAGTGTACTAATCTAAGTTGTTATGCAATACCCTGTCTTTTGGAAAAGACGTTTTATTATTCATATCTTTAAAACTATCTATGTATGAATTGAATGTATTTGAATGAATCATTAAATGTGTCATTTTATTTCATAGATAGAAATTTATAGTTGGCAGGCTTCCATGGCTAAATGGGTACTAAAATTAATGATAACTAAATTTTGGATATCCTGTTCTAGAGATTTTGTTGCAACAATACTTTTAATCTGCCTTCTTTTGAGCTAAACTTCATCAGAAAGTTGCGTAGAGAGGCGGTTATCTCACTTTTAAATTTTGATTATTACCTGATTTTGATTTGTATTCATACATCTATCAAGTATTTTCTGCTTTTCACCATATACAATGTCTTTTAATGAAGCTATTCATACAATCAAGATGGTCATGACTAATTTAACACCCCATTTATGTACAGTGTGTTAATTAATTATCGTTCCCCATGTCATCATTATGCATCAATGCATTTATCAAGTATGCAACCAAATACGCAAATCGCGTATTGCAATACAAATACTATGATATTGGTTGCATACTTGCAACAAAATTATTAATTAACGCACTATAGTTTTATTGCCATACAATTCAAATCGTACTTATGAAAATACATCCTAAAGTTTCCATGTCCTGTGAGAGCTTGCGTTAAATAGAAGCCTGTCTCACCCCATTTTCTATCTATCCAGTCCGCAAATCCGAACCAACCTAACTCAAACCACACCTTTGCCTAATAATCTAACCCAACCTAGCCCAGCCGAACCCAGCCTTTTTTATAATTATAGAGGAAATCTGCCAATAGACACCCGACCTATAGGTATTGCGCGGCCGAGTAATGTCGAATATTCTTCTTTAGTAGGATTAAAACCTTTTCCCTTCTCCTCCAGAATCCGACTGTAGTAATGGCCTTACTTAAGAGTGACCTTGCTTTGTTTGCATAATTCTTTCTGTTCCCCATGCTTCAAGATCTTCCTTTTTCTTCATTCTCTTGATTTCTTCTTCATCCCTCCTTAATCTAACTAATAATCTCTCCTCTTCTCTTTGATCTTTTGATATATAGTTATATATATATTTTTAGGTGGTATGGAAGGAAGTGTTTTTGATGGGTGTCTTGTAGCTGAAGAATTAGGATATGGTTGCACAGGAATTATGACAGCTTTAGAAGCCAGTGGATTAGGAGTAAATACATCAAGATAAAGTTAATAAAATTATCACAACTTTCTTTTATTGCAGCAAACTCCAGTTGTTTTAGCTGGAAATAAAGAGCAACAAAAGAAATATTTAGGAAGACTGTTAGAAGAACCCATTGTAGCTGTATATAAACATCAAAACAAAATTAATCACAAAAGTAACTAAAAAAAATTTGTTTTTAGGCTTATGGTGTAACTGAACCAGGAGCTGGTTCAGATGTAAATGGTGTCAAAACGAAAGCAGTGAAGAAAGGTAAAGAATGGATTTTAAATGGGCAAAAAATGTGGATTACTAATGGTGGAGTAGCTAATTGGTACTTTGTTCTTGCAAGAACAAATCCAGATCCAAAAGCACCCGCAAGTAATGCTTTTACTGGATTTATTGTAGAAAGGGAATGGGAAGGTGTTAATCCAGGCAGAAAAGTAAAATCATAAAATTACTTTATGTATTTTTTTAATGATGTAAATGTAATTTCAGGAAATAAACATGGGACAAAGAGCTTCAGATACAAGAGGAATTACTTTTGAAGATGTCAGAATCCCTGAAGAAAATGTTTTAATCGGTGAAGGAGCTGGATTTAAAATCGCTATGATGACTTTCGATAAAACCAGACCTCCAGTAAAACCTAACCAAAACAAAAAAAAACTAAAATTATTAATATTTGAAATTTTAGGTTGCTGCTGGTGCTGTAGGATTAGCAAGACGTTGTTTAGATGAAGCAACACGTTACGCATTAGAACGTAAAACATTTGGTGTCCCAATTGCGGCTCATCAAGCCGTTTCGTTTCTTTTAGCCGACATGGCAATAGGAGTTGATACTGCGAGATTAAGCTACCAAAAAGCTGCTTGGGAAACTGATAATGGAATTAAAAACACCTTACAAGCATCGATTGCTAAATGTTACGCCGCGGATGTTGCGAATAAATGCGCCACAGATGCAGTCCAAGTGTTTGGAGGAAACGGATTTAACAGCGAATATCCTGTCGAAAAATTAATGAGGGATGCTAAGATTTACCAAATTTATGAAGGAACAGCTCAAATTCAAAGACTTATTGTGTCCAGAGAAATTATTGGAAGAGCAAAACAACAATTGAGTTAATTTTGATACGATGAAGAAGGATTAGATGAGGTTTATATTTTTTTAAATAAATTTTTTGATGTATTTTTATGATGATATACAAAATGCGGTTTCATTGTATGTTGATATTAATTGAATCCTAAGAATCTAATTAAAATAGTGATTCAATTTAATATTAAAAATAAAGCCAATAAATTTTTTAAATCAATTTTATTTTTACTCATTATTTACTTTCAAAACTTTCGTTTTCGTTCTTCATCTTGACCTAGAACTTTTATGGCGGGCGTTTTCAAATGATCACGTCGACGCATGCGCTTTAAATCGATTCAGTGGAGTCAAAGGAAGAACCGTAATCGTTTGATTTTGATAATTATTTTCGTTTGATTTTGTGTTTTTAAAAAAATAATTTGGGGTAATGATGAGCACGAAGTGTCACTGATTCGATTGTATAATTGTTACGCCATTAATAAAACGTCCCGCTACCGATGACCTACTTTAAAATGTGAAAGTTATTCGAACGTTACGACTGACAAACGTTCGCTATAAATGAAAAAACTGTTATGATAATTAATAGGGGGAGTTTTGATGACGTTTGATGTAAATATTTGGCAAAAATTTGAGATATTTAAAAATTAAGAACCTGCTCTGTAAGATTTATGAATACGGTTGCTGATTTGATCGAATGGTGATGTCTGTCTGGATGCAAAGTGTAACCGAAGTGGCCTACAGACCTACATTTATAGTACGTTCGATTTTTCTTTCGCTTAAAAGGGATAAGTTATAGTGAAAAATTAGTGGTGCGGTCGAAGGTTCGAGCTTTTGTAAAGCTCGCGGACAAAGTTAAGTCGAGTATCATCGCGTTCGCGACCTGCAAAAACGGATAAACAATGCACGAAGAGGCTACGAGTATGATGAGCGTACCCTGCTCTGTTGCCGCATCTACTAGCCATAACCAAAACGGTTCGCCGCCTCTCGTCTCTATCGTTACGAACGACGTCGATTTGGAGGTTACAACCGATGAAAACGTCGACGAATTAGATGTGCAACCCTTTCAAACTACCACCTCAGGTAACCAAACAAAAAAGTCACCCAACATTTATAGGTTATGAAAAGATCAAATAAACAAAAAAAAATCAAATGACGACACGACTTGTTTTTTTTTAATTTCTAACTTGTCAAATGATTCACTTGTTTTTTTTTTTTTAATTTTTTTATTATATCGAAATCGAAAACGGAATAACATTTCACTTCTTCGGCTCTCAATTCCCCTTCTTTGCTTTTATAATCGAGTACACGGCAACGTAGTGACTTTTCCTTAAGCGAGAGTTGATGTAGGTTAGGTTGCTGTCGACGAAGAAGTAGGAGAAAGAGACGAAAGAGTAAGAGGGAAAGTAGAAGTTTAATCTAACCCTAATTTTGTGGACCCTTGTAATACCGGATTACAATCGGTGGTAAATGATGTGCTATGAATTCCTTGACCCATTGCCGGTCTATTTCTAGTGCATCTAGGCTACCCTAAGCAATAGCGCGATCTATTATAGGCCAAGTTCAAGTGCAGGTGCAGCAGCAGCAGAACGGCACGACTCTTATTATTGACCGGGGGTGCGCATGCGTCCTTTCGTGCCATTGCCTACCGCCACTATAAATGACTTGAATTTTAACCTATAAGTATTTTAACCCTGAATGTTAGATCTTCCGTGTTCAACGTTATTTAACCTTCGATTACTTATATACGAACTCTCAATCTGTACCAAAATATTTTATTTAATAATAAAACCTTTCTAGATAAACGTTTATGACTCTACCTATACGATGTTAACCACCAATTTTTCCAGCTACCAATTAGATAGGGTTTTACATTTTTAGTATTATGATCATAACAAGTGTTTTATAAACTCAATGGAAAGCTTGGCTTTGACAAAAATAAATTAATCAAACTCATCAATTATCTCTCATATTAATCTCCTAATTGGTTGCTATATCTAGCTTGGACCTCGTCTGAACACGCTGAGATGGGGGTGTAGAAATGAAGTAAAACATTATTTAATATAATTATTTACCCATGCGACGATGGCAACAAACCTCCCAGCAACAAACTTTTACCCGTAATTCTTCCTTATTATTAAAGATAGCGAAAAACTAAATACACCATTTGAAAGGTTGACTACACCGCGTGTTATACATCATAAGAAAGAGCAGAAAATTTTCGATAAGATAGATATACTTCTACAGGTGTCCGGAAATGATATGTACAGGGTGGGCAAATTTGGGTGTTATTATAGGCTATCTTAGAAACTATAAGAGATACAAAAAAAGTAGGTACCATGTCCCGGTCTCTTTTTCCAAGACTAATCCAATCCCGTAAAGACCAAATCTCTATCTTCTTTTGTTTTTAAGTTATAGCCAAAAAGTCAAATTTTAGTGATTTTAAGAAATGCTCATATTTCGTTTATTTTTGAAATTAGAGAAATGGGCTTAATACATTCTTAAGACACTTTTTTGAGTAGAATATACTGCCGTTGAAACATTTTTAACATAGCTGATAATTTTTGAGATATAACATAAAGTTGTATTTTTTTAAATACAAACTATACTTTATTATGATGTTACTGAAAAGAGCATATTTTTAGCTTTCCAATGATGTATCGCACGCATGATGTTTCTGCGGAAAATAAGCGTTATTTTTCAATTTTTAAAATATTAAAGATTAAAATTCAAATTTTTAATTATAGTAGGCGAGGAAAACGCTAAATACTACTTAGTTACTATAGCAACGTGAGTTTACTTGTCATTTCATTCATGAATTTTGCGAAACGAGTTTCCCGTTTAAGAAGTTCCGCATTATCTTTAAATAAAACGATAAAATTAAATATAGAATATATTGGAGTCCGCTTTGAAGATGATACATAAGTCTTCATATCCCCATTCAAACGGTGTTTCAATGGAAAGTCCGCTCCCAGTTTATGATTCCTAATTTTCCTCTATCTCACCCAATTTCAAAAGAAAAGATTGCTGATATCAAAAAACTTCTACATCTTATGTTTGGGGAAAACTGGGAAAATACTACCGAAGATTTCATTCATTGATACCGAACTGTTCTAATCTTACAACCAGTAAGTTGAGTAGAAGAAGATGACAGTTTATGACTGTTTAGTTCCTGAAGTTGTCCATATTTAATTATTCATTAATTAATACATTTCTTGTATTTTTAATAAACAAACTTTAAATGCTAATCATTTTTTATTGGTGAACAAAGTCAGGGATAAGATGCTGAGAAATTTAAATTAACTATTCAAAGTTTTTATTCGTTGGTACAAAACCAACTTATCCTGAATAATGGTACAAAACCAACTTTATTCTGTCATATTCGTGCAAAACCATATATTATAGCCACTAGGTAGTATTTACTGTCCGGACACGCCTACTATAATCAAAATTTTGAACATTAGCGCTTACTATTTTCGAATTGAAAATTAACGCTTATTTTCTGCAAATACACCATACATGCGATACATCATTGGAAAGCTAAAAATATGCTCTTTTCTTTAACATCATAATCAAGTATAGTTTGTATTTAAAAAAACACAACTTTGTGTTATATCTCAAAAATCATCAAGTATATTTAAAACTTTTCAACGGCAGTATATTCCACTTAAAAAAGTGTCTTAAGAACGTATCAACCCCATTCCTATAATTTGAAAAATAAACGAAATATGAGCATTTTTTGAAATCACGAAAATTTGACTTTTTGGCTATAACTTAACAACAAAAGAAGATAGAGGTTTGATGTTTGCGGGATTGAATTAGTCTCAAAAAAAGAGAACGGAACATGGCACCTACTTTTTTCGTATCTCTTATAGTTTCTGAGATAGCCTATAATAACACCCAAATTTGCCCACCCTGTACATCGGAGAAAATATGGTGATTTAACTGACTTATCTAGTTCAGACACGGAATGTGGTGCGAAAATATTTGTGGCAATCGCTGTAGCTTTGGTCTTGGCTGTAGACTGCATTGGGGCGACTTTGGACACACGATACATTGCGGCATTCAGTTTTATGGTACAGTCAAGAGAACTGAAGGATTAACTAACTGTTGTTAGTTCTGCAGCAGCAACAAGCAGTTCATCCTGAGTATCTTCTTTATATATTAATGGAGAAAAATGCTTTGATGTCGATGTTACCGCGATTCTATTTGTATGATTCTTCGTAGAAATGTGCTGCCTAACATCTGCCTTGGAAAAAACAGACAGCATTACTTCAGTACTTGAACCAGGCTCATAACAGTATTTTGCAAAATCAGTACAAAATTGTATATATTTGGACGGATGGCAACCCTACCTAAAGCACTTAATCTTACTCACCTAAATATCACTCACCCTCCTTAAATTATGTTAATATGCAATGGTTACATATAAAAAGCAACAACATAATTAAGCCAAATTATGAACGTGTTTGCGAAAGATAGCAGAGGAAGAAATCGAAGAGGATCCGGAACATTCGTCTAGTGAACAGAACATATCGGATACAGAATAAGAATCTATAACAGGACAATGATTATTGGAGCAGATTTAAGGCCACTTTTACAGTCCTCTTGCTAAATTTGACTTCGATAAATGTAAAAATTAAAGCTACAAATATTTTAAGTAAAAATTTTAAAAGTTATCTAATTTGTTTTATAATAGAAAGATAATTTTATTTTTTGTGGATTAAATACATTCACCAAACAACAATTGGCGCAAACGCGTGTTTTGATAATTATAACAGTTTACGCGATAAGAAGAGCCATAATGTATTGTAGTCGATCACGCCTCCCGCAAAATCTATCGTCGATAAACGTCGATGTGTATCGTACGAGTCGAGTTTGCGTGGTTGTTTACGCTGTGCCTCCACGTGTAGGCAATTGAAATAATTTGGCGCACGTATTGATATTCTTGGGCCAGGTTCGTTGGTAATTAACGATCAAAATAACTCTGGGACATTGGTAATTATACACATCTAGTTTTACATATTCATATTTTTTCTCGATGTAGCGGCAATAATCTTTATTTTAAAAACGAACAAAAACTGAAAAATAATTTAACGATTTTTAATAATAATTTATAAATGAATGTTACTAAAACAAGATGTATAAAATATTCAGTGAACAACAAGCGAATTGTTCCTTTATTAGTTATTTAGCACAGTAATGTATATCGCGTTGTTTAAA